TTAGCAATTCGTCAAGGCTACAAATGCCGGCCTTATTGGTGCCTTGTTGTTGGGTCAGTCGCAATCAACTCCACGGATAGTTGACGGCTTGTTTGGTTCCATGTGACTTTCTTTTTGGCTCAGGGGGGTGAAAAGTAGAGGTTTACGGATTGCTTTTGCTGGACTAGGCCTCATGGACCGTTTCTTTGAGCTGGCAAAGGTCAAGAACATTTAGCATATTTAGCTCAGCAAGCACTGCAAAACGATTGCCAATGATCCACGCGGTCGCGATCTACAAAGACAAGGCAAACAAATCTTCGAGGTGTTCCAAGGACGCTAGGCGTTGGGTTCGCAAGTTGGGATGAGAAAGATGGGTAGATGATGAACAAAGGGCATCGCTACTAGGAGCAAGATGGTAAATGGCTATAGACACCACAGCGCAGCTGCTACGCTTGACGTACCGTCGGAGCAATGGTCATGACCTTGAAGGTGGACGGATACAGTGGCCGGAGCAGCGCATTTCACGATTGTTACCTACGCCATCCTTCAGCAGTCGTGATTTCAATCACTTGCAATCTTGATAGCCAAGGCATAGGCAAGTTCAAGCTGCTGAAGTCACAAGGGGCCAATGTCCTTTCCGCTGCCCGGAGCTAGCAACGGCGCAGGATGTGGAATGGCAACAATGGCTGACATGAACAAGATAGTCAGGCAGTGAAGAAGGATTGAAGAGCTTGAGGCTGATGATTCCATCCGTGAACATGTTCACCTTTGTGAAAGAAGGATTGGATCTCGTAAACCCTGGTCGAGCAAGGCAGCTGCTGACCCAGACCAGGCTAGTGGCATATTCATATGCAGCTCAATGAATTTGCCTCGGCAGTTTTGGCCCCACCGGCATCTCTGAATTGGCCAAGTGTTGTGCGGTTGAGTATGAACCTTTGACGCATCATTCACCATTTGTTTCTTGCATGGCTGCAGTCCATGTCACCCATGTCATGTTACATTTGAATGCCCATTCAGATTGGTTGATTTGACCCGTACAACCGTAGCTTCGTTTGCAGAACAAGCTGCGTGCCCTTCCACGTTGGCACCAACAACAGCCACAAAAACCAGAACGAAAGACCACGCATACCACAGTGCCTGACAACACATGACTTTGCAACTTTGCACTTTAACGAGAAACCAAAGACCTCATGTCGACGTGAGGTTGTTCCAAGGGAGTCGGCATCGTGAAGTTGATGGGAGCGCTGAAGTGAATGTGCAACGAAAGAACGAAAGAACAAAGAAAAACGACAAGCGAAGCTACTAGGAACAAGTGCCTCGCTAGTAGTAACAGGTGCCTTACTAGTAGTAACAAGAAGCTACTAGAAACAAGTGCATCGCTTCTAGTAACGCAATGTTGTCTGGAGGACGCGATGCTGGATTTGTTGCTATGCATGCTGCATTGGCGTCCACCATTGTTGATTTGGTGATGATTCCAGAGGCTTGGTGAGGGAACTTCGATTTGACCTTGTTTTGGGCCACGTTCGCTGCGCCGCCATTTGAGGTTGATGTGGAGTCAGCGGCCAAGAGGGAGTTTAAACAAGAAAGAAGGCACAGTTGTTTTCGGCACGATCTCGCCTTGCGAGGATGGACGAGGTGATGAAGCACGTTGACAGAACACTAGCCCGAAAGGACCTGCGGCTCCTAAACGAATCAGACGAGCATGTGGGTGATGTGGTTGGAAGGTTGTAAGAGAAATGTAGATGCCCAGACTTGGCCTGGACCGTCCAAAACCATGTGTTTGTCCCGTTTCTGTTCGCAACATCGTTTCTTTGTGGGTTGCAGTGGTAAACGCAGTTTGGGCGTTGGGGTTGTCAATCGCGGTTGAACATGTGGTCTTGATGATCTTGTTCGCAAGTTGCTTTGAGCTGTCAAATGTCGCCAGCCTTTGAAGTTGAAACCAAGTTCAATGACACAAGACACCCAGCTCACTTCTTCCCAGGGGCCACGCACAACTGTAGGATAAACGAGAAGGCAAACTATATAACAATAATTGAAGCAGTAAGTATTCCGCACTCGACCCACAGGTTGAGAGCAATGGGCCTCATGGTCCTAGCAGTGCCCAAAGGTACCATTGAAAGCCACAGGAAAGTGCGTTTCGGGTCCATTCCGACAAGATGCCAGTATGAACTCAACTCTAATTAGTTTCTGTTTCTACTAGCAAACATTGCTACTAGTAAGGCACTTGTTACTAGTAGCGATGCACTTGTTCCTAGTAGCTTAATGCCAGTATGGAAGGCAAGGACTTTAGGTCCAAATATCATTCCCCGGCCTCACTGGCGTGCCCATGGGTGCTCACGGGTGCTGATCATGTCTGGCGAATTTGAGAGGCACAAAAGAAACTTAAAGAACCTACAAGCAATGTTACTAGTAGCCTTCTTGTTACTACTAGTAAGGCACTTGTTACTAGTAGCTTCTTGCTACAAGCAATGGCCTCCATCCTAGTAGCGATGGCACCCAACCAGCCTCATGCAGGACTTCATGGTGATTGCTGTAGCGGAGGGCGCTGGGCAGAAGTTTGTTGCGACTGGAAAAACAGATTCGTTCGGTCCTTAGTAGCATCCTTGCTCCTAGTAGTATGGCCAGGAGCTACTAGTAGCGTTCTTGCTTCTAGTAGCGAGGCCAGGAGCCCCTAGTAGCGTCCTTGCTCCTGTGGGATCGTGTGGTCACAATTTGTGGCGCCTAAGGACAGGTCACACAGTGTATGGAGACATTGGCACATACTTGAAGGAGCGGTCCAGTGCATGCGAAAACTGTGCTCGTTGGTCGTTTTCAAGGACTCCGTCAATGCGCATTTGAAAAAGAAGGGCGGCCCTCATCTCAGCATTCGGGTCACCTCACGTTTCAAGATGATTCAAGCATATAATTTGCTTTCAAGTTTCTTTAGGAAGGGATAATTAAGGTGCTTTTTTTCAATGAAATGTGTTGAAAGGCCGATCATTCTATATTGACCCATCCTACATCATCCGGTCAGCTCGGGGCTCAAACATGGTTATTTATGTGTGCCTTTTTGAGAAACCCATCCTATCCGTGAGGTTGCAATCCGACCCAACGACCACATCTATTGTTCCAGGCCAACATGCCGTTCTAGTTTCACTAGGAGCGATCGGATGCTACTAGGGGCTCCTGGCATCGCTACTAGGAGCAAGAACGCTACTAGTTGCACATAGCTGAAAAGGCTAAGGAGCTCATGCGCCTTCAGAAATCTTTATGTGGGATAGAGATGCCAGAAAGGACACGAAGCGACTGGTGTTTGACGTAGCCACTTCCAGGCTGGCCAGAGATGCTGTCCACACGGCAATGAGAGGTTACACTGGCGTTTGTGTGGGGTAGGAGGCTCAACGAGACGAGACAGAGACATCCTGAGAGAAAACAAAAGAGAAGAAAACATAAGTTGTTTGTATAATATGTGTTCAACGTGAATAGTAATATATAGAAATATGAGCTAGTAGTAACAAGTGCATCGCTACTAGCAACAAAGTAGCTTATAATATATGTATATAAAACATGTTTTTCAACATTTTGTCAAAACAGATTGAGCAAAGTGGACGGAGACGACGCGGTTGTGACGTCGCCTAGGCCAATCCACAACATCATTGTCCAACGCTTGGAGACGGAGAACTTCTAAAGGGCATCGCTACTAAGGAACAAGTCTTCTTTAAAGTTATATTAGATATATGCTTATAGTATCTTATAGTTATGAATAGTATTACTAAGTCTATTAGTTAGTAGTATTTAGTAATGTTCAATAATTTAAAGGGGGGTTGACCGCGAGCAGAGGCAGGTAGGAAGCCAGGAGTCGCTACTACCTATAAGGAAGCGATTGCCGACAGGAAGCAGGATAGCTCACGCTCATACAATTCATTTGGTTCCTAGATTTTTTGGGAAACTTGTTACTGAAGGAAGGGCGAGCTTTATTCAAAGACTGAACACGACAAACACAAACCAGCGAACCGAGCACAGTCTGAGGTGGTGATGCCTTCCAACCTCATCGCAAGTCGTCGGGACCACGGAGTCATGTGAAAAGACGTAACAAAAGCGCGAAGTAAAGCGAAGCCAAATTCCGGACGTGAGACCTTGCTTTGTAAATTGCGATTCTGTTTCCAAAAAATCACCGACTTTGGCCTATTGACATGTCTTTCTTGTCAAGAAAGCTTCGAACTGCGTTTACGACTACTGCTTTGAGGAAAGAAGAGGGTCGGACTGCACAGCAGTTCGTGGCAGTCCTGCGTGCAGTGACTTTGATGCAATATGATGCTTTGATGTCCATATTGCACCAAACTGTAAGAACCTTTCCAGAGGCCACAGAAACTATAGTAACTCTGTTTGTGCGTGTTGGTTATGAAAGGAATCCAGAACCAAAGCCGAGGTCTTGCAACATGCCGAAGTCTCTTTCCGGCCTGCACTGATGTATAGTTAGTTGCACGGATGGCTCACTAATGCACTGCACGAGAAAATTGCATGCTCTCGTTTGCGTCTTCAGGTGCCCACAACAGGATCAATCCGAAGACAGTGAAGTTATCTTCGTAATACCCCCCTAGCTACTAGTAACAAGAAGCTACTAGGGGCTCCTGGCATCGCTACTAGGAGCAAGGATGCTACTAGGGGCTCCTGGCCTTACTACTAGAAACAAGAACGCTACTAACTAGGATACCCATTGGCATAAAACAATGCCACCAAGAACCCCAGCCCGACAGCCTTTCACAAACGACAAGGGTTCTTAGGTGTTTCTGCAGGAAGCCAGAGAAAAGACAGGGCCTTTGTGGCATGACTAGAGTGATTAGAGTGTGACTATGGGGCAGCATGTTTGGAATTGAACAAGTTGTGACAGCCACGCGTAAGATACTCGTATGCCAAGATGCCGCTCAGTTCAGGGCAGCTTGTGAAGCAAAAACACCAAACCATATCGTCAGAAGGTGTCAGAACACTCAGCTCATCACATGTTGGAAATAGAAAATGAAGAAAGTCAGTTGTTGTTCTCATCTCCATTGACAGTGTTGTGCCAACCTTCGGACGGCCCTGGTCCCCTGCGCTGATGGCTCTACGCACCGCTGCAGTCTTGCTTGGCTTGCTTTTGGTCTTCTTCCAGCGATTCAAGCGAATCGTGACAAGAGCATGGACGCCCTGCTGCACGAGTGCGTTGGTTAAAGCTTGTACAGTGAATTCGAAGCAAAATACCTTCTGGAAAGGCACCTTGGCACCAAATTGTTTGTCTCAACATGTTTCAACAGGCTCCCAGAGTCGGTTCTAGTTTCTGTGTTTACTTTGTTTTCTCGTACATTTCTTCATGTGGAGGCGTGATGATGTTGAACGCCGCTTGCTGGGGAGGAACATTTATTGCTGCAAAGGCCAGCATCGATTCCTTGAAGGCTGCTGGCGTTCCGAACGCGGGCGCTTCTGTGGGTTTTTTGCGCTTTGCATTGGCGACGCTTCCTTTACTTTCTTGGCTCCATCGTTCCAGTTGCAGGGAAAGTGCTGCAATGAGCCTCGTCGTTGGAGCCGTTTGGGGCATGTCCTACGCATGCACCTTCATCTCCTACACGCTCGGCACGACAGGAGCTAGTGTTGTCTTGAAATCTAGATGGAATGTTGTTTCTATGCGTTTTTTTTTTTGTTTAAGGCCGTTTAAGACATGTTGTTTCTGTTCTTTCTTTGAACCTCCTGAGAAATGTGTTCCTTTGTGTCTTATTTCTTTTCTCTTTCTATGGATGGAAAAGAAATCAACATCCACCTCCTACACGCTCGACATCACAGAGGCAAATGTGTTTGCTCAATATGATATGAGTCCTCTAAGTTCTCACTTTAGACCGTTTTACCTTACTGTTTGTTATTTTTCTGTTTATCATGTGTTTCCTCCGTTAGGCCGCCCGCCACAGGAGCTAAAGCCGCCTTCATCACTTCCCTTCAATCGCTGGTGGTCGCAGCATGCACGTCATGTCTTGCACGCAAACTCCAGCGTGGCACCTTGAACTCCACCATGTTTGCAGAAAAATGCACAACAAAGAGAAACAAATGACAATTGCATCTACAACATCGTAACATTCTTGGGGAAGTTCTACCGAGGGTGTCGCATTGAAGCAGTCAATTTGTGGGAGAAGCGTCGTCAGCGCTGGTGTGGCAAGCCATTGAAACGTGTCGAAAGGAAAAATGGATAAAATGTTACTACTAGGAACAATGATTGCTATTAGAAAAAAGTGCATCGCTTCTAGTAACAAGTGCCTTACTACTAGTAACAAGGTTTGTCGAGCCAAGTCGAGAAGAAATGGCTAGGGGAGAAACAGGTCCGTTGAGCCATGTCTCGCCCCAGCCGTGGAGCCATCGCAGTTTCACGCCCACGAGAAAAGTAAGGACATCGTAAGGTGATTGAAGGGCGTGCCCAAGCACCTTCTGTTCATTGGTGCCCATGTTATTGCTCATCTTCGCTCCCGTCCAGCTAATGCCACGTTTGTGGTTTCAATCAGGTGACAGTGCACCTGAGTGAAGAGTTAGCGATAGTGACAGCAGTGGCTGCGCCCGCCAGGGCAATGTGTTCAGCTTTTCGCGCATTGTCACATAATCTGAAGGGCTCACGCCTCTGATATGTCGGAAGGGTGTGTCGAAAGAGAGGCCCGAAAGACTTCAGGTATCGCTTAGAGTCTAGAGAGGCATTGCATCACCTCAAGGTGCACCAACGTCAGCCCACCTTTCCGACCTTCCATCCACTTGTGACTGTCACTTCCGCCCATTCCTTACGACGGACGCTTGGAAATTCGACGGCCTTGTGTCCACCATCGCCCGGTTGGGCGCAGCTGGCCAGGTTCTCCACGGCAGGTTGCGAGTTCCCAATACGCTTGGCACCTGCTAAGAGCCGTGCGAAGCGTTTGCTGGCTGAGATGTTCGAACCGCAGCTAGCTTTGACAGCGGGAGTGACAGCGGGTAGAGCAAGGAGAAACAAATTCCCACAATGGCCGGTGCATACACCTTGTGTCGCAGGTTTCGGCGTCACAACGACCGCGGCATTACCGCCAGAAGTGTTTGATGCAGTTGGGCCCCTTGTTGTGCCTGACACGTGGTGCCACGCGTGTTTGCCTTTCTATAGCTACTAGGAGCAAAGGGCATTGCTACTAGGAGCAAGGACACTACTAGGGGCTCCTGGCCCCACTGCTAGGAGCAAGAAGCTATTAGGTGACCTTCCTTGTGTGGTCAACGAAGCCTGTGACGACTGAGTCAGACTCTGCACAGTGACAGGCACACTGCAAGCACGCACGAGCCCGCAGCTCGTCCAAGTAGCGGAAGCATGCTGAAGCTGATGGAAGACAATGTGTCAAGACAAAATGCCGCAACAGGCAACAGTGTAGTGGTGAAACCTAGCAGGTGGCTGGCAGGGAAGACAAAGTTGTCAGCAGCAAGGCCTATAGAATTCTTTGAGTTCTCCCAGTGGCACAATTGACAAGGCATGAATTTTGTTGAACAACGGTATCACGAGATCGATTTCCCCAAGCTGCACGCCACACATACAAGTGCACGCACCAGCACCGCAGAGTTTATCAAACGGATGCAAAAGTTGGGAGATGTTGAAATTACAGAAAAATTGCTCTCACACGCGCCGAGGTTTGCAAAGGGGATGTGGGGGCAAGTAGGTTTTGCGGGAGCATAATAAGCGCGCGAGCTGACAAAGCGGTGGCCCTGAAACTAGTAGCTTCTTGTTACCAGTAGTAAGGAGCCACTGTGCCCAAAACCCGAAGGCTTAGGCGCCCGGCCGCCGGCGGCCGCTAGCTGCCCTGCGAAGGGCAGGGGCGGTGTCGACTAGGTCTGCGACAGTCGCGGACCAGCCGTAGCTTGTGACCTGTGGTTCTTTCGTGCTCCCCCACAGGTTTCGCGCCATGGCTGTGCTGGATCCCGAACTGGATGAACTGGTCCAACGGATGGACGACCGACAAATCCGTGGACTTTTCACGGGACTGGATCCTGGTTTCTTTCCCTCGATTGGAACCAGGACACTGGTTGCTGGTGAAGTTGTTTCATTTGGTGACGACTGGATTGATCTGCGAGCTCGTTGGTTCACTCCTGCGGCGGGGTTTGTGATTGCTGATCACCCTTCAGTGATCACTGTTTCCCTGGATGATGCGCTCAACAGATGTTTGCACTTGTGTCAGGGCATTGACATCATTTGTGCTGGCGAACGAACTGATATTGCCAAGAACAAGGTGCGTTTGGCGAATGCTCAGATATGTTTCCGGCCCGAGCTGGCTGTCTCTATGCCATGGGACGTGACACACCTCTTCTGCGGGGCTTTTTGCGGATGGCACCACCTAGACAACCCGGCAGTCTATATAGTAAGCCTGTTTGACAGCTTTCAACCACAGGCTTAAGTTATAAGCCGATGATCGTGGGATCGTGAATCAAGGCATATACAGCCGCGTGGCCAGATCGACAGGCACAGCGAAAAGCACACCAGACACAGTCTCAATCTACCATGACATTGTTATTGCTGAGGCGCGCGCCGGGCGCGCTCTTAAGCTTCACCAGGCGCGCGCCTGGCGCGCGAGCAGTTTGGAACAAGGCCATGCAGGAGAGCGACAATGTTGTGAAATCGATGACAATGTCATCGCGCACCCCCTCCCTCCCTATGAGGTGGTGTCTTTGGCAGCTTGTGCCACGACAATGTTGTGAAATCGATGACAATGTCATCGCTCACCCCTCCCTCCCTATGAGGTGGTGTCTTTGGCAGCTTGCGCCGCGACAATGTTGTGAAATCGATGACAATGTTGTTATCAGTTACCACTCCCGCTCCGACAGTGCGCGTGAGGACGCAGTGAAATCGATGACAATGTTGCGACCACTCTTCGGTTAAAATTTCAAACACAAAAGCGGTAAGCGTTATAGAAGTGTCTTGTTAACGGATAGGATCGGCGGCGGCGGTGGGTGTGCTGTGTTTACATGTCAATGTATTTACTGATTTATATACTAGATGGCCGCGTTGCAGAACATGTCCACGCGTGAACTTCGAAACCACATGTGGCTTTCATTTTATATTGCCCCCTGTCCCTCGCTGGTGGATCATGGTTGGTACGTCCCCACAAATTTCTTTCTCTTCCAAGTTTGGTTTGAGGGCGTGTATACACACTGAAGAAAACCACATAGCCGACTTTCGAACATCGGTCGTTCGATTGCGTGGCTTGGACACGGTGCCGCACACGACCTCCGCCCACTGGGCTCAAACATTGTGGTTGGCAATTGGCGGTCTTGGAGTGGGGTGTTGAAGGAACATTTTTTGCATATATCGAAAGGGCCAAGGGACATGTTGTAGTATTCTTGGTGGATTGGTGACATTGCCCAACCATTTATCTTCCAAGATGCCAATTACCAAACACCACCCGCTGGGATCGATCACCCGCTTGTTTCCAGCTCGGCGCTCAGACGTCAGATCACATCCGTGAGAAGTATCAGGGCCCTGTAGCGCCCAAGAGTGACTGCGCCCATAGTGCGAACGTGCGTCGCACTGGCCAGCTTACGGAGGTGACCCATTAGGTCCTCGTCCGCGTAACAGTGTTCGAACCTTGTGCGCCCCATTTGGGAGAAGAATAATACACGTTGCTCTAGTTTTGTCACCACGGTCAACCAAATACTGCCAAAAGGTTATACGCAAAGGGAAAACACTTTTTGACAAGGAACCTCGGATTGCGTAAGCTTGTTTCTATGTAGTCTGCGAGGTGGACCATGTTGTGAAACTTGGGTGTGATTTTGTAATTTCGGCGTTCCTCACCGCGGGATCTGTTCAAGCTGGCCAGGCGTTGGTAAAACATCAGGAAGGTTCTGGCGTAGTTCGCCGTCTCGAGTGCCTTTTCACGGTGAAAGAACTCCGGCGCCTCATCCATGTTGCGTTGAAACGCGGCCAGCGAGTGCATGCAATAGCAACGATCCTCAGACCCAGCGCATGTGTGCAAATTGTCATGCAAATACGCGGAGGTCCAATGAATCATATCCCGCACACAAGCAGCTTTGTAGATGCTTCCAAGCTCAGGGTATACGTTCCACTGTTCTCTGCCGAATTTTGTCAGATTGAATCTGAACGAGCACGGTGTCTTTCTGTTGGCCCGGCACCACGAGCGATAGCTGTTCCAGACCTCCCCAAGAAGAGCTCGGTCAAGGTCTTTTAGTGTGCAATTTGGATACTTCGCTTCGATGTGGTCAGAGATCAAGGAGGGGATCGCCACGCAGGCAACTCCCTGGTGCAGAATATGCAGGAGGTCCTCAAAAATGGGGTTCAAACTATCACCACTTGAATGAAAGTATGGAATGGAAACACTTTGAAAGTGAGGAAAGCGTTGAAACACACAGAGTTTACAAATCAACATGTTTCTCCAAACTATGTCCTCCAGGTTTCGCTCACGTCGCCACCCTTTGACGTGTACCCATCCAGACACCCTGTGTCTGGAGCACATATGGATGTACTCTTCGTGAGTCCAACTGACATTCCGGTAGGGACCCCACCCCGGCTTGCCGGACACTGATCACATATCAGGTTTGCTGCATAGTTCCGCTCAAATTTGTGGCATACAACCCTGGCCTCCCAATCGGCCTTGAAACCTGCGAAGCGAAATGTCCAATTTCCCGCAATCCTTGATCCAGCCCTCATAGCAAGATGCGACCCTTCTTCAAAAGCACGTCCCTCCTCGTCACACGAAGGGAAACACCCTGTAGCCAAAACATCCATGATGTATCCAATGTGTCTTGCGACCTTGTCGTGCGTCGCATTCTTGCGAATAGAACTCTCATGGATAAGGGTGTAGACAAGCTTTGTCTCCAGCGATGTGTCCCCTTTTCTACAAGCAGATGAGTAGCTGTACACCCAAGCTTTTTGGGCCCGGTAAATACGGACACCGTCAGTGTGCCAGAAGATAGGTACAGTGTGCCCAAACTCTGTTTGCTCAAGACCCAATTCATTGAAGAACTCAAGATGTCGGCAGTGCTGCCAATA